AGAGAGAGAGAGAGAGAGAGAGAGAGAGAGAGAGAGAGAGAGAGAGAAACATGAGCTCTATTGTGTTTTAAACAGATTTCCAAAGTAACAACTACAGCTGATGTCTGGGCTATTTACCACCACCCCATTCTTTTCATGTGAGAAATGAGGGTGAACAAAGGAACTTTTCCAAAAATAGAAACCCTTCTTGCACCATACTAATCTCCAAACTAGTCCGATTTCAGGTTCTCGATTATCCACAGTATGCTTTGAGGATAAATATAGGAGGAAGTCTAGTTTAACTGACCTGATATTTGGTATAAACACCATGAAAGGGCAGTAAACCAACAGCAACCCAAGAACTGTCTTCCACCTGTTGGGAGACAATCGCCCCGTTGCTGTGTATTGACGCTGTAGGTAGAACACAGCACCCAGTTAGCCCAGTGCATACTGTGGAAGATACTGAAGTGGAGACAGGGAGGAGGCACCATACTAGTGAAGTCGTATGAGGTCTGCAGAGGAAAACAGGGTATGTCTCCCTGAGAACTAAACATGAGGGAGTCTTGACAGTGAAGGGTCCATGACCGGAACGTCCTGCACAGAGGAACTGTGGCGGGGAGGGAGGGGATTTGGAGCTACACCAAAAATAGGGCAGCAAGATGGCAGGACCCCAGGGGTCAGGCCAGGGACTCTTGTCTGCTGTTAGCTAGCTCTTCGGCTGGACGTGGCCCCTTCAGCATGTCTAAGCATTGTGTGTTCTCCCAGGACCCACAGTGTTTCTAAAGTATGTGGAGGGACATTGTAGCTCAATGCAAAGAAGAACCTTTTGACTTCACTGTATCAGAAACAAGTACAAAAGTTTTCTCTTAGAAGATAACAACTCCTGGCCAATAGCAAGAAGCTAAGCAAATAGTGTAAGACCAATGTCCTGGGCACTGGAGAGACAATTTCTGCTCTGAATGGTGCTTATACCAGATAACCTGATGCTCCTCCAAACACTTGACATTCTAGAATCATGCACCTTACCACGATTCAGGCATAATAAAACAATACGTTTTAAAATCTAATTATTATAGATTCTGCTGTTTTCATGATAGAACAGCTTGAGACCAAATGTTAATGGTTTCTATTTCTCTTGTTTTAATAATTCTTTAGTTTTCATTTTAAAATTATGTGCATAGGTTTGTCTATTTTTAAAAAGAGAAGAACCGAGCAATGAGAATTTATTAACTATCCAACTCTCTTCTCTCTTTAAGGCTTGCCAGCTGAACCCCACATTGGCAGATGAGCTTCACGCCTTACTAATTCGCCAAAGAATTTAGACCACAATGCATTTCAACGAAGCCCATCAATCCTCACCTGAAACAGTGTGTGTGTGCTCACAGCAGCTCCATCTGTTATTTCCTGCGTCCCTGTTATATTATCTGGGGTGTTTTACAGAAACATTTCCTTCATCCTTGTATTTGTATTCTGTAATTTGCACCAACTAAACTTTAGACACCAATCCAGTCGCTGGGAAGAGTCCTCAGAGACCCACCTCTTAGCCGGTACAGTGGCCTGGACTGCAATGAGTTTGAAAGCATGCCAAAACCAAGTACCCCTTTGCCTTATTAAACGCAGTGTCTGAAATGACTTAGCACAGACTGGGTTTTGTAGTTTCCAAAGTACACGTGCTGCTGACTTAGTTAAAACATAATTTGAAAGTTTAATTCTTTATATTTTCTTTGGCATTTGTTTATGAATTTTGCTAATTTAAAAATGTATTGAGCCATCTGAAATTTTTCACAAAATTAAATGAAGGCCATGAAAATGTAAAGATTAGGCTTCCAAATCTTTTTTTGTAGAAAGTGTATAGCATTCCCATAGCTTATTAAAAGATTCTTACAGATAATTGACTAATTTGCAAATTTTTTAAAAACAGAATTAAATTATGTAGCACCATGTCCCTCCAAATGTACCCTTAAAGATCTCAATTAAGCAAAAAACATTATGACCCCGATAAATATAAGAATTACAGCAATATGCTTTTGTTTGAATTCATTTTCTACATTCTTTAAATCTTAGAAACATTTCTATACAAGATAAAGTATGGGGAAAATCTCATAAAAATCATTAACCAAAGGGCTTCATCTAAATACTGTTTTGTAATCCAGCCTGAGAAAGCTTGCTTATAAAAGGATTACTTTTTTATGAGTGATGTTTTAGGTTAGCACACAAAGAAATGGATTGCATACACGTCTCCTGTGCTTTGTTCTCTCTCCTCCTCCACTGCCCTCCTTCCCTGGGACACCCCCCCCCCCCCCCGCCGGCAGCTAGCACCTTTCCTACCACAGTTAGTTTCCTCCTGTGTGTGCATGCACGTGTGTGTGTGTGTGTGTGTGTGTGTGTATGTGTGTGTGTGTGTGTGTGTGTGTGTTTTTCAGACAGGGCTTCTTTGTGTAACAGCCTTGGCTGTCCTGGAACTCTCTTTGTAGCCCAGGCTGGCCTCGAACTATCTGCCTGCCTCTGGCTCCCGAGGGCTGGGGTTAAAGGTGTGCTCCATCATCACCGGGCTCCCTTCTCCTTTCTTACCACATACTTTCTACTACTTATTTCCACCTCTCTTAAGATCCTTTCCTCTCCTTGTATGAGCCCTCCATTTTCATGAGCTATAAACACACACACAGAAATACAAACACTGTTCTACACACACACACTCCAATCTCAGTTCTACGTGAGAGAAAACAGTTTGCCCTTCAGAGCCTTATTTCATGTAACATGATGACTTCCAGTTCCATCCATTTTCCCAACAAGCACTTCATTTTTCATTATGGCTGCATCATATCTCATTGAGTTTGTTCTACATTTTCTTCCTTCATCTGTTTAGGGACATCTAAGCTGGCTGCATTTCCTAGCTACCGTGAATGGTGCAAAGATGAATGTGGACACTTACCTTTGTAGTGTGTCGACCTGAATCCTTTAGGCACACGCCCAGGAGTAGTATAGCTGGGCAACGTGGTAGTTCTTTTAGCCCATCTACTTGGTTGGACGATTCTGGTTTTTAGTGTTTTAATTTTTAGAGTTCTTTATACATCATAGATATTAAGGATATTACTAGTTGGTAAATTTTTTCCCCATTTTGTAGACTGTGTCTTTACTCTGACGATTGTCTCCTTCAGTGTACAGAAGTTTCTAAATACTTAAATAAATTCGCAAACATTTTTCCATATATTGGTGACACAATCCAATGAGCCCTCCATTTTCATGAGCTATAATTGTGTCAAAATTAGCAGGCTAGGTGGCAACTGGAAGGCAGCGGCATGAAGATCTCTCTGAGTCTGAGGTCAGCCGGGGCTATAGTGAGACTCTGCTGTCTCAGAAGAAAGAAAATGTAATTAACAGACTGTCTTACTGTCAGTAAAATCTACGAAAGGAAAGGCCACAGTGAAAACAAAGGTCCGTATGCTTTAGATGGTGCAGTGATATGTTTGTGAAATGTATTAAAAACAATAGATCTTAAAGATATCTTAATCCCTGCCTTTTGTCAGCATATTAGCTGGTATGGCTTTATTTTATAAATCTCAATGTCATTTTCTTTTGAAAAATTAAAATTTATTTTATGTGTATGGGTGTTCTGCCTACATGCATGTCTGTGCACCACACACATGACCAGTACCAGCGGAAGCCAGAAGAGGGTGTTTGATCCCCTGGAGCTGGAGGTATGCATGGCTGTGAGCTGCCATGTGGGTGCTGGGGATTGAACTGGGGTCCTCTGGAAGTTCAGCCAGTGCTCTTAACCACTGAGCCGTACAATGTACAATGTCATTGGCAACGGTGGATAAATAAAATCTGTCAGTGGTGAGAAAACAGAGTTTCTACGTGGTGGCATCTGCTAGAGCTGCTGCTGCAGAACGGGAAGCCTGGCCTTGGTTCTGCACTCATGTACTTACATTAATTGAACTTTGTTTTTATATAAAAAGAAGTAGTTGTACATTTCTGCATTCTCTACAAAAGTTACAGACTCAAACCAACCCTGGAAACAAGGCCTTTTCCTATATAATAGCTACTGAATACTCTATATTCCCTCCCAACATCCTGCTCAATATCTCAAGCCTCGCAGCTTACTATAGCAACTTCAACTTTTTTCTCCAAGCTTGCTTTGCTCTAGTTCTTCTAGCAAACACACACACACACACACACACACACACACACACACACACACACACACACACACTTTCTCTCTTAAATAAATCCTTTAAGACCAAGCTGGTGGAACATACCTGTAATCCCAGAACTTGGGAGGCAGAGTCAGGTGGATCTCTGTGACTTCCAGGATAGCTTGGTCTATATAGTGAGTTCCGGGACAGCCAGAGCTATGTAGACAGACACTGTATCAAGGAAAACAGCAACAAAACAAAACCCCAAAACTAGCAACTAACTAAATAAAATTCTTTAAAATAATTCCCCGCCCCCAGACAGGCCCTCTCTGTGTAACAGCCCTGGCTATCCTAGAACTCACTTGTAGACCAGGCTGGCCTCAAACTCACAGAGATGCACCTGCCTCTGCCTCCCCTCCCCAATGTTGGGATTAAAGGCATACACCACTGCCAGCTTAAAAGAACTTCTGAAAAGGAGCATATGGAGTTTTTCTTTTTAGATAGCCTCTCACCATGGTGCTAAGTGGTCTCTTTTGCTCTCGCCCCCTGACTAGGTGGGCTTACAGAGCACCCCACTGTTCCCGCTCCAACAGGAATATACTAAAGAAGAGAAAGTTTACTAGAACAATGCATGCAGGGAAGGAACTGCCTTTCATTAACCCAAAGAGAAGCCCACTTTTACAAGTGCAATTAAAATTGGGGTTCCAAGCCAGGTGTGGTGGTGCAGACCTGTGACCCTGGCTGTGCTGGCTGGAGTGCAAAATGTCCCTCTGGGCTCTGGTGAGTGGTGTCCCCAGTGGGTGGTGCTGCTTGGGGAGGGTTTTTATTGTCGCCAGGGGCAGGTTTGCGAGTTCACAGCCTAGCCTTAGTTCCAGAGGACGCTCTGCCTTGGGCTCTCAACTTCCTGTTCCCACCACTGTGTCTGCCACTTGCTTCCTGCCTCTCCACCAGGATGGACTCATTCCCTTTGGAACTGTAAGCCCAAATAAACTCCGCTCTCCTTAAGTCACTTTTGGTCATAGTGTTTTTACTGCAGCAACAGAAGAAAAACAAAAACAAAAACAAAACAAAAAACCAATACACCAACCTTGGGAAAGAGGAGGCAAGAGGGTAAGCCTGGGTCACCCTGTCTCAAAAAGAACAACAACAACAACAAAAAAAAAACAGGCCTCAGCAAGCTGTGGTAGTACACAATCATACATGCAGCTACTTGGAAAGCTGATGCAGGAGGATCATCAATTTGGGGTCAGCCTGGATAACTTATAAGATCTGGTCTCAACATAGAGACAAAAAAGTAGCAGTCACGTTGCTTAGCGGTAGTGCACTTGCTTAGCATAGACAGACGAGGCCCTGGAGTTCATCCTCAGTGTGAGAAAAATACAGCCAGATACAAAGGAAGCAAGTCTCGGGGATAGAGGTGTACCTCAGGGGGAAGGCATCTATCCGCCTGATGCATGAGACCCTGAGTTAGATTTCCCAGCACTGAAAAAGAGAAAAACGTCAAAGAAACATGTCCCCCAAATCTTTAGTGTTGGGAGTTTAAAAAGTGTATTAGTCACTTTTCCGTTGCTGTGATAAAACACTGTAACCAAGGAAACACCTGAGAAATGGTGTATTTTGGCTTGTGGTTCCAGAGGGTTAGAGTTCGTAATGGGGGTAGGGGCAGGTATGGCGGCAGAGCAGGACGCTGAGAGAGAGGTGGGAGACTCGGGGTGGGGTAAGGGGAGAACCGTCGACCCCCAGTGACACGCCCCCTCTAACAACTCTACCCTTCCCAAACAGCGCCGCCAACCAGGGCTCCGTTGTTCAACTATGCGAGCTAACGAGGGTACAGTCACATCCGAACCGCCATAACAGGTGTCATATTTGGTGATCCGCCACGCCTGACCGGGAACCCAGTGTGGGATTTCAGTTTTCGTGGACTCTATTTACCACAGAGCGGATAGCCTGGCGCCTGGCACCTCCCACTGTTGCTCACACTCACTGGGGAGCGGAGCCACTCTATCTCAAGTGATGGGAGACTTCCAGCTCACTTTTTTCTTTTAAGCCCAAATTTCTAGATTCATTATAGTTATCAGACTGTCATAAAGAGATAGAGGAGTTAGAGGATCTCTCTCCTCTCTCTCTCTCTCTCTCTCTCTCTCTCTCTCTCTCTCTCTCTCTCTCTTTCTCTCCCTCTTCTCTCTTTCCCTCTCTCCCCTCTCTTTCTCATTTTCTCTCTCTTTTCCCTTTTGAGACAGGGTTTCTCTGTGTAGCCCTGGCAGTCCTGGAACGTACTCTTTAGACCAGGCTGGCCTTGAACTCAGAGATCCCCATGCCTCTGCCTCCGGAGTGCTGGGATTGAAGGTGTGCACCACCACCACCTCCCAGCTGAGAGTATCTTTTTCTTATGTGCAATTTAAATGTAAGACCCAAAGTTTAAGCGATGGTTTAGAATTATGCAAATGATGTACAACCTCACATTATTTCTCTTCCATTAATCTACTCTAAATGGTC